CAGCGCAGTTACAACTAGGCTATGGAGAAAGTGGCTCATAGTTTTGTCTATAGTCTCTCTATTTTAAGGTTCGGGTAGCCACCAAAGTCGAATGCAAGAAAACAATGTACGACTTCGTGGTACAACAGTTGGCAGTGATCCTGCAGGATTTGGCGACGTGAATAAAAACATTGAGCGGAAGGGTTCACCTGGAAGTTAGTCTTTTTTTTTTTTGTTGTTCTAGTCATTTTACAGATTCACTTCAGCGCTTTGCTTGATCTCTTGACACCGATTTTCAAGTTAATGATTTTGGTTCAGAATTTTTTTTTTTTTTTTTTTGCACTAAACTTTTTGGCAATACTGTTTCTTTTCTTTTTTTCAGAAGTAATAATTGAGGCTCCCAGTTGGCCCTCGGGTTTAAAAGACAATGATTTTGGAAAGGCGATGCTTCCGCGACTTTTTCATTGGGGGCCCTTGACAGCATTTTCAATCGTATTAATAGTAATGATTCTTTTAAAATATATTAACAGCTCATCTACAGCTTTGTGCTTCTTCAAGATGAATTTGCGAGAAATTTCTTGGATTATAATCATGAAACTTTTTTCGATTGCTGGAAATGAACCAAAGTATTAGATGTACGATCTAATCTCTTTTTGTGAATCATTTTTTGTTTATTCTTTCTCGTTCTTTATCCATTAAAGAAGTTTCTCACCATTTCTAATTGAAATAAAGTTAAAAGAAAACTTTGAAAACGACACGGGTATTTATAGAACTAGACTGTGTTTGAGGTATATTTATGTTTTTGAAGGATCCTAGGAACTTATTTTCAATACGCAATTTTTTCAGATAAGTTCGGCCACCATTTACATACATTTGCAGTGGTGGCCACTGGAGGATATAAAGGCATTTCTGCATTTCTCGCTGTATCTTTTTTTCAACTATGCAACACTTAACAATTTATGCCTGGCAGGTTATATAGGACCTGGATACGTTCCACGACACTGGACTCCTCCCACAAAGGTATGTGTCTATAAAATGAAGGAGATGTTAACACTCTATTAACTTTTTGTTAAAGTTACGCTGAACTGGAATAAGATTTTTATTGCTGTCATCTTCTATAGCTAAGAAGGACATAGAGAACTCTCACAGAAAACAGAGTTTCAAATTTTTTTTTTTAAAAATTTAATTTTTTGGAGGAGGATGAAGAGAATTTACAATATTGTCTAGTATGTGAAGGTTATAAAGTGCCTCGGTCGCATCACTGTTCACGCTGCGGTCGTTGTGCCATGAAGATGGATCATCACTGTCGTAAGTATTCCTCTTGGTAGTTTGCTTGCTCTATGTATATATGATGCTTTGAAAATTCCAGTAGTTTTTGAAGGTTTGAGGGCCGGCGGGGTTTGGCGCAGTTAGGGCGCAGTGGTTTTTAAGAAGAGAGTGTTTGGTTCAGTGCCAGGTAGCAGGGTTGGGGTGGGTGCCTATGATGGTCCTTTCAAGACGGGTCTGAAATTGATGACAAAGTTGTTTGCTGAGGCAGTAGCTAATGACTTTCGCTTAAAGTATGCCTTTAAGTACTTTTTGCTCAATAGATTTTGATTTTCAAAAGAATTTAATTTATTACAATTGAAAGATTTTCTGTGCATTTTTCTAAAACTTGGCGGGTACTTGTCCGTTGCTAAAAAAATTTTGAGAGATTATTTAAAGTATAAAAACTGAATTTGGTGAAGCGTTTTTTTGCCCCTGAAGGAATTAATTATATTTTAATGAAACTGCCGTATTTTAAATTCGTTGGGTTGCTGCAAGGGATGGGTTCATTTCTCAAAACAAATCTTTAACTATTTTGGATCTCCACCCGACCATTTTGTAACGCCTTTACTGATTTTGCCTGGCAACTGGGTGATCTTCCAGATAGCAGGAACTGAAACTGTTAGTGAAGTTTTCTAATCAGTGTACGGATTTGTAGCTTGGATAAACAATTGTGTCGGGCATCGTAATCATGCTTTCTTTATACGCTTCCTTGCTGCAGCTGTTGGCGGGTGTGCTCATGCTACTTATATTTGTGGATCGGGACTGTATTACGCTGTTTTTCGTGTGAGCTGTTTCATGTATAATTTTGCTCCGCTATAGTTGAAAAGGAATATAATTCAAGCCGCTGCATTTCCAGCAGTTGTTTGTCGTTAATGCACTTTTGGTATCTTGCTTTTTAAGGTATGGTATTTTCGGTACGGTACTGGTTATGAACCTGTGGTTATATTGGGTCTTCATAGCTTTTTAGCAATATTTTTCGCTTTTGGCCTTGCTCTTGGGGCTGTTATTGCTATTGGCTTTCTTCTATGTGTCCAAATTCGTATTGTTTTGAGGAATAGAACCGGTGTAGAAGACTATATTAGTTAGTTTATTTCACTTACTGCATACTTTAACACCTGTTTCTCTAACACTTATTCAGATGACAGTTTAAGTGGTGAACTTCTACTCGTTAAGCAGCTTTAAATAGAAGGTGAAATTTTAGGAATTAGTTTTTGATTTTGGTCGTTCAGAATGCTTCGTAAAGCTCCTGTTTTTAAACTTACTGTTTAACATTTTGTGCTATCCGCGTTTAGTTTTTGCAAAAGGACAGCATAAAAAAACTATGTGACTTAATGCCTAGGAGACTAACTAACTTTTAATTGACCTACTAAAATTTTCGCCATCAAATGCACCTAGCTTTACTGCTAGTTAGTAAATTGTATTAACAATTATTGATCCTCTGTTACCACTTTAGTCGGCAAAGCAAATTCTCATTCACAAAGTGTCCCATTTGTTTACCCTTATGATCTCGGATGGCAACGCAATGTTTCTGAAGTTTTGGGGACATGGAGCGGACGTACGAAAGGGAATGGAGTTTGGTGGCCAGTTATTGCTGCAACCGACCAGTTTACATTTTCTGTAAGTTATTTTTGTAACCTGCTAGCTTTACCGAAGCCGTTATCTTCCAACAGTACTTTTGGTGGCTGAAATATCTTAGGCATCTTTAATGAGTTACATTACGTAAAATGATGGTATCCTTCACCCATTTGAGAACTACCTCAAAATTCCTCTTTGTTTTAATTCAGCTTGGTCTCAGAAAATCAATCAGGAACCTAAAACTTTATGTTTAAGTAAAAAAAATTCATGTATTATATTTTATCGTAGTTTTATTTTACCTCCTGCATATTATATTTCTAAGGTAAAAATATGCCTTGGTTCAACGAGGCAGTTAAGAGCCTGAATATCAGAAAAAGTGGACGGTATTTTTGAAGAAAAGAATATCACTTTATTTTGCATTTTTATCACACAATTTATAGCTCTAACTTTAGCAACAAATATCTTTTCAAAATTTTATTATTTCTTCAAATGAAGAACCTGTTCGGATTAAAAACTGTTTACCTGCTTCAGAATTCCTTTTTTTTTGAAATCTTATGCGAGAGCTTCTATAAATTCATTAATTTTTTTTGGATTTGTCTTCTTTTTGCTTGGAGTGGGTTTCAGTTGGAGAAGCTACAGTTTTCACTGTAGCTTCATTCGAAAAAAATATTTCCCTTGTTAAAAGAGTGATACTGCTATTTTAATATTAAAAAGGCTTTTTTGATATTTTCGGTACTTTCTATTAAATTATTTCTACTGACAGTGAACCTGGAATTTTAGACCTAAGACACAGTGAGTTTATTGTTCTATTGAAGTATTTTACTTGTTTCTTTTTTTTTGGTTTTCTGTTGTATTTCATTTTCTTTTGTTTTTAAGTGATTTTTGTGTTGTTTTTTACCAACCAGATTAATTTTTCATAAGTACTTGTGCCGTTTAAATATCCTGATTTTGGATGTTTGAAACACACCGATATATATATATATATATAT